AGGGGTCGTTTTTTTATCAAATTTTAGTATATTGATTTGATATTTTGTATCAGGAGCTCGAGCTGGAAAAATTCATCACACATAAAGTGCCATTTTCTGAGATCAACAAAGCTTTCGAGTACATGCTGCGAGGGGAGGGTCTTCGATGTATGATCACCATGGGAGAATAATTAATTAGCTTATGTTAGTATTCATTAGTCATATGTTTGCTTAGCTTTTTTAATTTGCAACAACAATAAAGGTGCAAAGTTTACCGCTTTGGTTTGTCAAATAAAGGCAGTAAATTCGAATGTTTGAAACGTTTTACTTTGGCCATATTTATAATATATGAAGTTTTGTGATATATTCCAGGTTTTTATTTTTTTTTCTTATATATACTCTCGTTTTAGGTTTCTCATTTCTTACATTGGGATATATTTATAATATATGGAGTTTTATGATGATACATTTGAGGTTTTCATTTTTATATTGTATATGCTCGTCTTACGTTTTCCCTTTTTTTACAGTGTTGGTATGTGCATGAAAACAATAATTCAAATATTTTTTTAATACTAAATTAAGAAGAACATATGTACTTATAAACAATTTTTTTATGGCTAGAGACCCTTATGGATAATAACTTTGTTTTGTTTTTCTCATTAATTATTTCGTACGGATTATCAAAAAAAAAAAAAATTATTTCGTACGGAAAAATGATAAAGGTCCCGTTTGGTAGATAGCGGATTGAAGATAAATTAGCGGATTGGACTTAATTGATAGGTTTAACCCGTCAAATCTGCTATTGAGCTTGTTTGATAAATAGCTTATCAAATTTTTGGACCCAAAACTCTAATTTAGAAAAAGCTCATTAGAGCAGCTTTTTGGGATAGAGGATTCACAATTGAAAGGTTTTACTTAGAACTTTTTAAATTGTCTTATTTATTTTACAATCTATATTGGTTTATAGAGCTAATAAATAATAATATGTCATCCATATGATTAATTTATCTAGAAAAATATAAAATTCATAACTTCTTCATCAAGTGTTAGTAAATTTAAAAAAAATATATATATATTTATAAATTATCAACTAAAGAATATTAAATGCTTTAATATATTATTATTAAAAGAATACACCCTAAATAATAAAATGTCCTTATTGGTCATTTTGCAATCTCAAACGGCTATAAGCTTTCAGCTATTTACCAAACACTTATTTAAAAACCGTTAATGCAATCCGCTGGTCAGATCAGCTGATACAATCCGCTATTCGCTATCCGCTGATCGCCAAACAAGGCATTCTCTATAGAAAAAGTCACTACTTATTTATTTATTTATTTATTTTTTTCTCCCCCTTCCCTTAAACATTGAACCTAATTTAACTTTAAAATACAATTTAATTATTATTACATAATTTTCAATAAAATGCACTATTTATCAATTAAAATAAAATATTTGTTAAACGGGAAATATTCAGTTTTAGTAGTATCGGGAGAGGAACAAAGTGAGTTTTCTTTTTTCAAACGGCAATAATATTGATAACTTAAAAACTCAAAATAGTACACCCGAAGTGTGAAAGTTGACACGCTCAATTTTGCACATTCAAGACTTTGAGAAATCGATTATTTTGAGTGAACCAAGACTTTGAGAATTCGATTATTTTGATTGAAAATTTGAAAAATAACACGTAATTTTTATTCTAAATTCACGACATATATGGTTAAATTTTGAATTAATAAAGGATTATTGTAGCCTGTGAAAAAATTAACAAAATAAGATATTGTCTTCCAATTTTGGACAATAATTGGATAACCGATAACATCGTCTGAACTCTCAATGTCGCTTCCATGCGTTCGAAAAAAAAAAATGAGAGTTGTTTCGAGGATTGCTGGAGATTTAGAGCTTCGACTGACGATTGGAAGATACTACTGAATTCTTCGAGAAAATAGCTTTCGAAACATATATTATTCATAAAAATCCAACAATTAGATCTCCAATATCATTCAAATAAACCTTAATGCACATTTTTTTTTATCTAAATCTGGCGGCAATGGCGACTAGCAATTGGCATCGGACATGTTGCTAGTGGTGGACGTGGCCGGCTAGCGGTCACGTCCACCACATAACCATTGAATTTTATCTCCTATTCATTTACAATCTCAAAATTATCTCATTATTACACCAACATAATTTTTTTCATTCGTTAATCCACTTTTCCTAATCAAACAATTTTTTCGAAGATAATCTTTGTCCAATGTGACTACATAATTTCAAAAACTATTTTATATATAAAATAGAATAATATCAAGATTTTATTATTTTGACCACTAAAGTATTGACTAGCAAAAGAGTAAGGAAAAGTTGTAATCAGAAAACAAAATTTATTAGTCAAGATATACATAGATAATTTTATATCACAAATTCAATCCAAATAATAGGGCAAGACAAACACAAACCCCAAAAAGAATAAAAATTGAGAAAGGAAAAGTTCCAATCAAAAGACCAAATTTAGCCAAGCAAGACATAAATATACCACAAAATTTAATCTAAATAATGGGGCAACACAAACACATCCGGATCATCCACCATCTCAGGCAATGTAGACCCAATGTTAGACAAACCAGAAACAACCTCTTCTACCGGTGACCGGTTATCCAACTGTTTTCCTATGTCGATTTTGCCATCCACACTTGTCGAATCCAGCCTTCTGAAAATATTTTCAACAATTAAAAATTATTTCTAAATGTAAATTGCAAATAAATTAATAAAATAAATGAATGAATTAATAAATATTTTGATTTTAACCTATATTCCTCCTCTTTGTCCACACTTCTCGACAGTTTCATTTCTTGCTTGTGATCGTCATGGTTGATGTTTGGCTCGATTTTTAGGACATTCTCGGTTAGTTCTTCTTCATAGTGAAGTCTCACCTCTCGAATTGTACTTCCCGGAATTGTCGACACGATTCTTTCCCAACGGGCGGGATTGCTGTTGTAGAGTTTAAGAGCAATCTCGAATTCTTTATCCTCTTCTGTGGTCCACTCAGAATTATTGCACTCGTTCTTGAATATAATGTCCTCCTCCCATATCCATGAACAACTGCAGAAAGTCCAATCGGTGTTCATTCTTGATGAAGCTGCGAAGCAAAGATTGGAAAAATAAATGATACGTAAAATACCATCTTCGAAAATTTAGGTTATTTAAAGAAAAAATTAAAAAAATAAAATAAAACATTTGTAGTTCTAATAGGATGTTACTTCACACAAGCATCAATATGATCATACAAGAATTCATATATTTTAACCATTTAACAGATAATCAGTATCGTGTGGCATTAGCAGTGCACTCAGTAAAATGCACAAGTTTTTATTGTGCTTCATTTTCTAAGCCAATAAGAGATGAATTGGAATGACAGTTTAAGGTAAAGAAAAAAATAACGAAATGTACATATCAACAAATCCAAGTAGAGTGCGCCTCTCAAAAATTTATTGTTGGTTTTACCTTATTAATCGTTCAATCACAGAACACTCTTCTGCTCGATTGAGTCTGCTACCAAATTAGGCACCTGAATTCTCAAATCCTCTCCAAATACACTAACTTCTTTGCCCTTTTTTTATTTCGAAGGTGCTCGATAAACTATTTCTTCTAAATAATGTCGTTTATGAAAACTAATTGACCTTCATTACTCTGTCGTGTATTTATAGAGGTAAACCTGGAAAAAGTGACCGGTGTAGTATCGAAATCATAATTTGGTTCTCTGCTTTTCATAATTTTTTTTAAAAAAATTCTCATATTTACTAAATCTTATTCTAAAAATTATTAAATTTTATATAAGTATGTTCACGTACGCGCCACATATAAGCCGTATAACTTTTAATAAATGACGAAAATAAAAAAGTAGATTGGCCGTATAATATTTCGTAAATGAGGAAAAGAAGTAGATTATGACTATTAGGTTGTTGCGTAAGCACATTAAATGTTTTGTGAGAGTGAGATTAAAGAGACAATCTTTTATGTGAACATTACAAATTGGTGTTTATGCATTATTTAATTGAATTCGATTGTGTGCATGTAATTCAAATACCTTTTATCACGAGTAATTGCCACGGCCATTGACACATAACTACCTTATTACATTCTTAGCCAGTTCACTCTTCTAACAATTCTGCAAAGTGTGGGTCAGTTTATCTAAGAAAGCATGTTTTAGCATTGTCTAGTAATATGAAAACATCGATTCCAGAACCTACATCAACTTCAACAAACAAGTGTAAACAAAAATTGTATTTGAGACATAAATCAACTTAAGACGATGGTTTTTATGAGATAAAGATAACGGTGTCAAAAATTTCACAAGACATTTGCTCAACCTCAGTCACGTCAAGTCACATTAGGCACATAAGATATTCAAAAGTCATGTGCAAGATTGTTATGGAAACACAACACAGTAATTAAATACATAATTGTAGTTTCCCGCTCACACCCCAAATATTAAAACAACTGTTTATTCCGTTCATCTTTCTCATACGCACAATAAACAATAAACACAAGCACTTATAGAAAATGAGAATTACCTCTCTTAGAGCATTAAATCCTCAGGTGATGTTTGTATTCCTCCCATTACTCTGGCGTGTTTGCCTTTCCATAAATTGGCCGTCCACTTCAAGAGCCTGATTCAATGGGGATGAAAACTCATTGATGTGGCAATGTTTTTTTTTTTTTTTCTTTTTTTTTTTTTTTGAATCGTATCGTGTTTGGAGAAGCTTTCCCGCTTAATCAATAGACACAAATTCAACTTCCAGGTTACATACCTGGGAGGAGGACATTATATTCAAGAACGAGTGTAATACTTCTGAGTGGACCACAGAAGAGGATAAAGAATTCGAGAGTGATCTAACACTCTACAACAGCGATCCCGCCTGTTGGGAAAGAATCGTGTCGACAATTCCCGGAAGGACAATTCAAGAGGTGAGACTTCACAATTAAGTTTGAAACCTTAAAGCCCTAAATAAGGATGTCCCGGCAATCGAACCAAGCAAGGTCCCATTACTTTATATTGTGATCCATGAAAATAAAACGTCGAGACGCGTGAACCGGGGGACACCTAAGATAGCGAGACCGGATGTTTTTGTGATGCCCCATTATTTAGATTAAATTTTGTGACGTTGAATTATGTGTTTAATATAGTGCTTGAATAGACTTTCCCTTTCGATTTACGCCTTCCCACCCTCTTCATGTTTCTAGGCAAAAGAAACATAACCCACATTCTCTGCATAAGATGAATAAATAATACATAAGCAAACATCCCCCCAAATTCCAATATAAACTCAATCCTTTTAACAATAATAGTAACGATAGGTACTCTGTTAGGCAGGGATAATCATTAGGCCGACATAGTTTCTCACAAATATGCAATTCATTAATATATGTCATACTTTGTAAAACAACGAAAACATATAACTATAACAATTGATAGTATAAGTATGCATTTTGATTCACAGAGTATGACAGGTCGACCCACCTAACCGTTAGGTTGCCTCTTACAATAATTTGTGTAGTTATAATAATCCAAAACACAACACAATTCAAAAGGAACTAAAATACTAAAACAAGCTTATCTAAATGCTGTCGTAGAAACTAGTAAACCAAGCATAAGCTCGTATCAAATAAGGAAAACTCATCACTATTCTAATGAAATCGTCTGTGGGATATTTTATCGAACAGGTACAATGCCAACTGAAAAGAGTTAACAAGATAAACACATATATACGAGTGCTTAACAAAAGAAAGAAAGAAAGAAAGAAAGAAAGAAAGAATCACCTTCAGAGAGAGGATGTCTCCATTCGATCCCAGAGAAGAGAGATATGGGTGGGGCGGTCGCCGGAATCTTGATATGACGCCGGTCGTCCGGCAAAGATACGGCAATGAACATTGGGACTTACCCAACAATATCTACTAAATTTCCTTATATATTTAAAAGTTTGGTGGTCAAAGGTTGATGAAATCTGTGGAGTAAATTGATATACTATATGCAATATCCAATTTTTTATTTTGAGAGTTTGGTCAAATCAAATTGAGATTAATTCATTGGAATTATTACAGACTATCTAGGATTTTAATAATAAATAGTATTCAATCATGTGCATAGTAAAATTTTAGAAGTGTGTATGTAATATTTAAAATCATAAGTTAGATAATGAGTTTATCATATTTTATATCTAAAAATGAACGATATAGATATAAATATTTAACTTACATATGAAATCTTATATTGATTGATGTAATTTTTGCAATTTTGACTGAATATAATCAATTAATTATATAAGATTATATTGAAATTATAATTATAACAATTGTGTATGGAATTTTAAGGGATAAACATCAAAAAAATTCAAAATTGGTTTAAGTCAATTTATTAGTAATAGAAATTTGTATGTTCAATTAGTAATAGTGCAATGGTTTAGCTTAAAATTGTAACTAAAAAAGTTGTTGAAGTTATGTTGCAAATTGATTAGGTATGCTACCAATGATTAGGACCGTACAATTTTTTTATAAAGTAAAAAAATTATAGGATTGTAATCGAAAAATGTGAGAAAACAAATAATTTTAAATGTTTTGCTAGTAATTATATATATAGGATTTTGGTGTTTTATTTAACTTGGACTTTGAATATTTTTAATAATTTTGAGGTATGCATCTGAGATTTTAAAATGTATTAAAAAATTATGAGGTTTTCATATTATTTATCGCTTGAATTTGTCTGGATTTTGCAAGACTTAACGAGATTTCACAAAGAAAAATCATATGAAATGTCTTTTAAATCTCACCCTATACATAAGATTTTTAAAGATTCCTTTTAAAATATCTTTCAAAATCTCGAACTAACACACCTTTCTAACACTCCATCTCGTCCAAAAAATAGGTTGGACAAGTGAAAAGATGTATAAAAAGGTGATAGATTTGAGATTGGATAAAAATAATATAATATTAATTAATAATAATTTTGAGTTATAAATATGTTGGTCCAAAAAATAGGTTGAAACAGTTCAAGAAAAAAAAAATGCTACAAATACATAATAAATGTACATAGAGATGTACATAACACTCTCATAGAGTGGGGTCCACTTAACAATAAAAAAGAGGTGATGGATATGAGATTGGATAAAAATAATATAATATTAATAATAATAGTTGTAGTTTATACATATGTAAGTAAATAGTGGTTGGAAAATATATGATGATTAGTTTTATATGTTAATTGTGTCAGTGGTTGAAGAGAACAAATAAGATGAGTAAAAACTATATAATAACGATACTTTTATGAAATTTTTTAGTTTCCACTCTCAATAAGATAAATACAAAATTGAAAAAAAAAATCTTATCCAGTTTCTAAAATAGGAGGGACCTACAAAATAAGCGAAGTCCTCCTACGTGAGGCCTACCGACTAGAGCATCTAGATGAGACCCCTCACGCATTCGCATATCCATGGAATACAGCCTTTAAAAAAAAATATTACCAATAGGGTTGAGAGGATCGAGTGAAAAAGTTTCTTTGTAAAAGACAACTAGATGCATTTAAGTTGTAACTTAGTCTTAACATAAAAAAACCTCTCTCCTCGAGAAAACCCTTTTCCCCAAATTAGGAAGTTTCGTGGCCGCAGTTGAGCCTTGACCTCCTCTCTGCTGCTCAATCCAAGGCGCCATGGCGTCGGCCGCCACCAACCCGAGTTGCTTCTCCCATTAGGAGTCGTTGCCCCCTCCCCGATGTAGAGCTTCGCCGCACTCGCCGGTCGTCTATGGGTGGTGGAGCGGGTTCCGGTTGGCACCAAATTTAGTCGATCGGCTGGTCCCGGCCTTCTCCGGTGAGGGGGTCGGGGTTGAGGTATCGTCCTTTTCTCCCCTTTTTCCGGTTTTCGGGTGATGTTGGTTGGTGGGGCTGGTTGTGTCTCGCGGGTTTGGGATGTGGTCTCGGCAAGTGGTTGGGATGGGATCGTCGGTCGGAAGTTGGGGAGATAGGAGTTGTCCTCTGGTGTTGTTCTAGGGGTTGCCGTTCGGGAGAGGAGTTTGGTCCGATTGCAGTTCCAATTAGCCGTTTGCTGGAGTTCTTGGTTCGGTTTCTTGGATTAGGTTTCTTTTCCTTGGGCGGACGTCTCTAGGTGTCGAGCCATGGATTGTTGTGGATTGTCTGCCGGCGAGAGGAGGGTCTTATTCTAGTATTGTAGTATTGTTGGTGTTTGTGTTGTGTAGTGTTTTGGGTTGCTTTGTTGGCCTTTTGTTTTATTCTTCTGGAGTAGAAGCTCGATTCTCCCGTATGGGACTGTATTGATTCTCTCGTATGGGACTGTTTGGATCCTCCCGTATGGACTGTTTCGATTCTCCCGTATGGGACTATATAGTTTGTCTGTTTGTGGGTGCGCTAGTGTAGATCTCTAGACTACCTTCATGTATGTCTCCCTTAGATTCAGCTGGATGGCTGATTGGCTATTCCTAGTTGTATCTAGGTTTGTAATTATGTGTTTTTTATCAATATAATCTATCGTTTCGAGAAAAAAAAAAGTTGTAACTTGCAAGAAATCTTTATAAGCGTTCATTCATAAGGATTGATAGACTAACAAGAGAAGGGTCATGTCGAGAGAGATGTGATTAAACAGCGTCAAAAGTGCACAAGCTGAGTACGAAAAAGCTGCTCGATAAGGCCAAAAAGTACCAACGTGACTAAACACTGGTAAAAGTGTACAAGCCGAGCACAAAGAGGATGCTCGATAAGGCGAAAAAATGCCAACAAACAATGCCAAAAAATGCTCAAGCCGAACATAAAAAGTTGTTCTGTAAAACCAAAAAGTGCCAATGTGATTAAATAAGCACCTAAAAAGTTATTTGGACAAGCTAGAAAGTTGTCTAATCCTATTATTCAAACTCGAGAACATAAGCAAAGGTCATTGTCGAGTACCAGAATATCCGATCCAACGAGCTCGGATTATTTAAATTAGGTTGGCAGAAGATTATCGACCAACTAGGATCGATTTATACTGATTAAAGAAACACTTAGAAAAAGTTTACAAAAAATGCTGTAGAAAGCAAAAATTGGGTGAACTCGAAAATAACCAAGGTAATAAGAATATAAGATCGTAAACAACAAAAGACATGCATTAACAAAGTAAACACTAAATAAAAACATTCATTCGTCCAAACAAACGAAAACGTTCATCATTCAAACATGTGGAAATAAAAACACGATTCACCGACCACACACTATTAAATTACGAAAAGGCATGTAGGCCTTACAAAAAACTAAAGTTTGTTTTTCAAAGCAGAAGCAGAAGCATCTCAAGGATTGGCAGATTGGTCGGCGTCGGAGTTCGGAGCTCGTCTGTCTCCATCACCTCTCTATCTTCACCTCCCCGACAGCATGGAGGAGGCCGACCATGGCCCATCACCGGCGCGGCCTTAGCCTCCAGTTTGGCCTTGGCCTCCGCGGCCACTAGCTCTGCCGCCCTAGGCCGCAGTCAACCCGGCCGAGTGTGGTTCTTTATACCTTTTGATTTTTGTATCTGTTAATGTTTGGTAGTATTATATTTGTTTGTTTGTCTGATTGCAGGAACTGTTTAGTTAGAACTTTTTTTTTCATTCTTAGTATGGAAACCTATTTGATGTTCTCACATAATTGATATGACCTTAGTTTGATCTTGCTTTGGACTTAACTTGTTTTTACGACTACAAAAAATAGAGTTTTCGAACTGAATGCCAAATGAGGAGATTGTTAGGATATTTGAATGGGAATAATTTGAATAATCTCTTTTTATTTAATTAATTTCCTTGTATGAAGCAAGAAAAAATAAAGGGAGGTTTAATCTTTTTTGTTACATTTCCGTATACTTTATTTACTGAATATTGAGTTGGATATGTATTAGATTTGTTTCCTTATTTATAGTAGGACACAAACGGGATGGAGATCAGGACACGGCATTGGGATTGGGACGCGGTTTGAGCACGTATGGAAAGAGGATCACACAGATTTGGAATTGCTGGTACAAGATTCGCCAAATCTCGCATATAAGAAAAGTCGTGTCCTTACATGATTTCGCACTTTCCAAGTTAAAGATGATTCTGGAGATCTTGAAGACCAGACAATATAGAAAACTTGCTATCCTTGAAGATTTTGAAGACAATTATCAAAGGAGGATGCATATATATATTCAGAACTTTTCACCATTGTATTGTATTGATTGAGAGAGAGAAGGAGAGAGCTTGGGATTTTTTAGTTTTTCTTATAGCTTTTAAGAGCATAGTTTCGATTTATTTGATAGTTTTAGTTGGGCTTTCATTGTTCTTACAGGCTGAAAAGTTAACATCATTAATTTATCTTTTTCTTACGACACTTGGATAAGTGTTCGTTTACCTGTGAAGGGACTCACAAGATTTTGAATTCCACGAATTGGCCGAAAAAGTAGCTAGAGAAGTGGAGTGTAGTAACAATTAGATTATAAGGGAGTTCTAGTCTTGTAAATTCATACTGGTAAGTAACCCGTGCGATGCACGGGCTGTATTTGTTTTTTGAAAATTTATAAATCGAGGTTACTAAACAATAAATTGTAATACGTTGACATTTTTCAAGTAATCATAAAATGTTCATCATGAAAAGGTCATACATTATTAAAAACCTTCTTGTTTTTCTATGCAAAACTATTTGCACGTGGTAACTGTAGACCGATATTTACCAATATTGCTCTCCATTTGGTGATTGCAAATTGCATAGACACCTCATTTCTCTAATTCTTTGTTGATTTTCGGAATGTTAATATCACGAAATAAAATTATAGTGAGCATATGTAATATTGTGATAAATACTAAAGATATGAGTTATAGAGTGAAGGTTAATTTTATATGGAATATAAGAAAAGTTATTACCTTGAAGTGTAGATTTTGAATATATTTTTTTTTCAATCATTATAATTTTTTATACCAAATTCATTCCAATATTAGGAAATTTTTTTTTTGTTATGTTTTAACAGAAATTTGAAATTTCGATTGTATCTTTTGTAAAACGATATTTATGAAAATAATTATGTTAAAAAAACAACGATATTTTATCATTTGTAGCTCAAAACTAACTAAATGAATCGGAGGATATCTAAATCGCATTTTTTAAGGGAAAAATTGTTTCATAAATAAATTGATCTGTGTATATCTAAATTTCATTTTGCATGTGGATTTTGTATATATCTCTTTTGAATAAGACAAAAACAAATTTTGCTTGAATTCATAATGTATAACTTTTCACATGATAAATAAAGATGTGGAAAATTGGAAATTGTATCTTTTGTATATGTAAATGATAAGTTTGTTGAATGTTAATAGCTCGTGTATCCTGAAAATTAGAATGCTCTTATTCAAAATAATTTTGTTAAGTTTTGTATGAAAATGGTTGAACTGTTGTAATTATTTATATCGCACTTTTATAGCTTATTTTTATTAAAAAAATATTAAATAAAATTGAGAATATAACATGTTCAATCTCATTGCAATTTTAAAATTTTGTCTGTAAATATATATATAAGTGTGTGTGTGCGATCTAGATTAGAATGAGATTTTATTTTTTAATCGTAAATTTAAAAAATCTGCTAGAAAGAAAAAAAGTATGCTCAACAAAATTGTTACTATAAAAAAATAGATTATGATATCATTAAAATGGTATAATTTTAAATAAATTCCACATATACAAAACACATAATTCGAGAATATTTTTTTTCACAACAAAAATCGAGAATATGGCATGATAAACAACAACTGAGATTATGACAATGCATTTAATACTTCTTTTTATTTTTATTTGGAAACACATAAAAAGAATATAAAACTTATATTTTTTAGTATGTAATTAATTATTTTGGCGAAAACTTTTTTCTAAAAATAATTTAACTCTATTCTTATTTTATATAGATAAATTAAAATACGTGTGCACAACCAGTTTCTAGTTAAAGAATTCTAAGGAAGCGAAATGTTTGAAAACCGTTTTATTTAAATCGATTTCAGTTTACAACTCGTTCACTTACCATGAGTTGTTGCCACGAGTCCCACGACCTATAGCTCACATAGTCGCTTGATCATTATAATATTCACTCTTCCAATAATTCCCAACACACATGGGTTAATTGATTTTTCTAACTACCATGTGTTTTGTGCCAACTATTAAAAAACTTAAGAATCTTTCATTAATACAAAACGACCCATGTCAACTGAAACAGTCAAGTGTACAAAAAAATATATTTAAAACGATATAAAGCGCACAAATTTTCAATTTTTATGAAATATATTATTATTATTATTATTATTTTTATTATTATTATTATTATTTTAAATGCGACTGTAGCATATATCATATGAAATACCATTAGACATGAATAGTGACAAATGTCAAGCTGCATGCAAGGGTTTCCATATTTCCTCACCTTATGATTTTGTCTTTTTGGCAACTGATTATTATGTCCTTATTTGTGTGTGTAAAGTTAAAGACTTAAATGCCATCTAGTGAACCTCAAGCTCGCTACGGGTTGTTACCAAATTTTTATCTTATCTTTTATTATTTTTTATTATTTATGTATTATTTAATTTTTTATTTTTAAATGGATGGCTTTATGGATATTTTGGTTGTGAGCATTTTATAATTAGAATTAACAAATCGTGTTAATTCCTTGTCGTTTTTGTGTTTCACTATTGTATTTCATATTATATAAAGTATTTGATTATAATTATGATATTAAATCAAAATTTGATTTTATTTTATGCTTTTCTTGTTCTGATCATCGTTTAATTTATTATTATAATGGTTTTCTATAACTCTTGTCATATCGTATACATATTTTGTTGTGTGTCTTGTTTATCTTACAAATTCAAGCGCTATTTGTTATATCATTATATGGAAAACTCATATAATTACATTTATGATACTTTCTAATGACACGCGTCATCAAATTTATCAATATAGAGATTTACGTATATCGACGAATAGTATTACAATAGAATGTTGAGCGTCGTGACAAATTATAACTTTTCTAATTCACTCGCGATTCGACGTATCCCATATTAATAAGATCGACCAATCGCACCATAAAACTTTCTTGATTCGTCCAAAAATAGTTATATATTAATATCCCGTCGAATGATGAGTTAAATGAGCGTGATTGGACAAACTCTCATCTTGGAGATCCTTCATGCATTAATTAATATCAAGAATTTTAAGAAAAAATAAATAAATATTTATAGTACTTTTATATTTCAATTTCCCACATAAAAATAATTACTATTATTATTATAGAGTAGTTTTTAAGATTTTAGTCCTCATTTATCTACATGTTTATAGTTGCAGCACAAACCAAAACACTACTAGAATATGAATCATCAAGAACAAAAAATTCCGTTGGTTAAAGTGTATTTTCCGTTGCTAATAAATAATAGGAACAAAAAAAATCCGTTTCATTATTGGTTAGTGAAAACAAGGGTTCTGATGCTAAGAGACGGATTCCGTTCCGTTGCTATCAGTAACGGCTTTTGTAACAAGCAAGCCGTTTCTAGTCTTCGAGAAATAGCAACCAAATTAGAAACGAGACTATTTGTTCCTAATTGTTCATTATTAGAAACTAAATTAGAAACGGGAATATTTGTTCCTAATTATTCATTAATAGAAACCAAATTAGAAACGAGATTATTTGTTCCTAATTATTCAGTAATAGAAACTAAATTAGAAACTAGATTATTTGTTCCTAACTAATCAGCAATAGAAACCAAATTAAAAATGGATTGTTTTGTTCTTAACATCTTAATATTAGTGACAATTACAATATAATGGCATCTTCTATTTTTTATTGTTGCATTCAGTAAAATTGTTTTGTATCAAATGAATTCATTAATACCACTGAAAATAAGCAAGTAAGATTAAAGAAAAATAAAATAAAATACAATTATTTTATTTCGTCAATACAATAATAAAAAATTCAATTGATAAAACATCAAAGTACAATTAATACAAACTACTAATTATTTTATCCTCAAATAAACTTGGAAGTAATATTTTTAACATTTCATGATTATGCCCCAATAGAACTCGCTGAGCCTTCGCTCGTTCTTGTGCCGCAGAGATGAACCCGTCATACATTGCTTGTTCAAGTCAAGATATCGTAATGTTTCCTGAGTCGCTGATATGAACCCTTCATATATTGGTAGCTTATTCAAGTCCAGCTGCAATATCAATGCCTTCTCTTTAGTGTTACATTCTTGTGTCTGTAGATAAGAATCAAATTATTCGTCGTATCATATATTGGTGAAAAGAAGAAAAAATAAAATAAAATTTGCAGTGTTACATTCTTGTGTGTAGATAAGAATTGGTGAAAAGAAGAAAAAATAAAATAAAATTTGCAGTTTACATTCTTGTGTGTGTAGATAAGAATCAAATTA